CTCAGAAAGACTAATGAACCACACACAGCAGGAGCAATCCCCTCCCAAAAGCCACTATGTCACCCCACACCCTGGGAGAAAAAGTAGTCACAAAAATTAGCTGAAATCCTGCAAGAAATTCCAGCTAGCCTGATGACAGCCATCCAACATTGATTCTAACCCAAACTAATGTCCCCTCTAATCTTGTTTTGTGCACCAATATGGAAACATGCAACACATCTCCATGTTGGTACACAACGAAATTCATTCTATACCCAGACAATCTGGAGGCGAGGGGGAGGTTGAAGGCTCCAGGGTGCATTTAGGGTGCAGGAGGCGACTCCAGGCTGGGGTCAAGGGCTTTGGCATGCGGGAGCAAGCTTGGGGCAAGAGACTGGCGTTTGGGCAGGAATTAGGTTGCAGGAGGGGGGCTCAGGGTTGAGGTGTGGGGTCTAGGAGGGAGGGTTTGGATTTCCCAGACCTGAAGAGCTCTGTGAAAGCTCAAAAACTTCTCTCCCTCATCAACAGATGTTAAGGCACTAACAGTCCTTGCTTCATGCACTTTGCATCTCCAGTACTAACACGGCTACATTGTGGCATACTTCTAGGAAGAGCTTTTTCAGGCTCTTGATCATTCCTGGTGCCGTTGTCTGAGCCCCTCTAGTTCTCCTCTACCCTTTTGGAGTTCTGCAGCCTCCAGATGGGGCCACAACCCGGCTGGTTTCAAAGGCATTAAAATGTTCTCCATCCTATTCTTTATACCCAGCTGCCTTCCCACACGGGGATACATGAGGTATACAAGAATTTCAGTTTTCCAATGACTTTACCCTGCATTTAAACACGCTAGGAACAGCTCACCCAGGATCTCACTCAGCCCTGCTGGTTGTACCCCCACACCTAGAGGCTTCACAGAGCAGACCCTCACCTTACTCTTGTTGCGGGAGCTGCCGGAAGCTGTGCCCTTCATCTTGCAGTGTTGTAGGGCATCGTTGGCAATGTCTGAAATAAACTTCTGGGCAGCCAGGGAGATGAGACGAATTCTGCAGTCAGAGAAAGCAAGAGAGCAGCCTGAAGTACAACACTGAGCATAGGTGGCTGGAGATGAGGCCTCAGCACAAATACCTACTACAGGCCCCTCACAAACAGAAGTCTCGTAGTCAGGGTGACTGGGGATTTCCCAAATAGCACTATGCCTCACTTACATGCGTGGATCAGAGGCCTCAAATCCAGCTCTGTTGAGGTAGTAGCCTGTAACAGCATCTGGGATCTGGGATGAAGGAGAAATGTTAAAGGGGACAAGCTTTCAGGTTCCCCCACTCGAAACTACAGCCCTTACCCCCAACCACTCACATAGTGGCATCAACACACAACTTTTAATTCCCAATGCTCTGCGGTAACCCTTACCCTACTGCCACCCAGCACTGGGCAGGGAACCCAGGTGCCCTGGCTCCCAGCCCCCCCGAGCGAGGCAGGGAACCCAGGAGCCTCGGTTCTCAGGCCTCCCCCTGAGCCCATACCGTAGGGGTATAATCCTCCAGCTGCATCAGGAAATCTACCAGGGGTGTGGTGGAGACCACGGGCTTGACATCACCGTTGGCTGCGCTGGGGGGCACAGAGAGCCCAGGCCTCCCCCTGAGCCCATACCGTAGGGGTATAATCCTCCAGCTGCATCAGGAAATCTACCAGGGGTGTGGTGGAGACCACGGGCTTGACATCACCGTTGGCTGCGCTGGGGGGCACAGAGAGC